AATAACAAGAGCTTAGACTGAGATTAAATTTCATGTTCATATTCACATTGGAGTCACTGTAAATATACATATTACTTATTATTTTTGATTATTTCCTTCAGTGCCACTGTAATCCCCACTCCCTCTGCGATTATTAATTTCTGCTCCTGTTTATCCATCTTGTCATAGAAAGCCCGGATGATAACGCCCTTCTCCTGCTGACTTACCTTCATACATGAGTTTGGTGGTTCTGAGGCCGTCGGTGTCGGTCTTGCTGTCCTCTGCCGCCTCCCCCTCGGCAGGTTCGGTCAGTCGCATTATGCACACCTCCAGCCCGCAGAGGAAGCCGGAGCGGCAGTGCTGCTCGCCGGCGGGAGGCAAGATCTCAGCTCTCACACTGTACAACGTCTGACAGCACACAAAAAAACACAACAACGGTGGTTTGTGATGGTGGAGTGCCCGGATAATCTAAAACCTCTCTCTCAAAATATAGTACAGAAAGTGCGTTTTTCATACATTATGAGAGGTTTCAAAAACATCTGGACATTTGAGTAACTGACGACACAATTACAGCTCCGCTTGTGAAACTCTCAGGGAAAAAAAAGGGAACATTATGAATGTTTGAAGTGGACTTACGGTGACACTCTCCAGCTGGAACTGGTAGTGGAAGGGTTTGAAGGCGGAGACGTCTTGCTTGGGTGGAGAGAAGTTGGCGGAGAAGACGCACTGGAGGCAGGAGGGCAGGTCGTCCTTCCAACTCACCTCCCACAAGCAGAACACGCTGTGCTTGCTGCACAAAAGCTACACACACGCGCACACACACACAGCGTACCAGAGAGAAATATGAATTAGTGGCTGATGTAGTTTTGATGTCCTTTAAAACTAAATATCTGAGCTCCCTCACCCTCTCCGTACGGCTTAGCCCAACTAAGGATACTCAGTGTGGCTCCTTGTAAACACAATCAGCGTTCATGACCACAAATGACGCTTTGCAAATTAGATCAAGTTTTAAATCAAGGGCTGCATTTTCAGCCTCAGCTCCCTCGAGCTGTAAGGCTGAAACTAAAGGGGGGAAAAAGGGGGAATATCTTCATATTTATTCTTATTTGTGTGAACATGGCCTGAGAACCATCTTTCTAATTTATTTTATTTCCCAATCAAGTTTCTCTAGTTTTTTTTCTTTACTCCTCACCTGTTGAGTTTTAGTGTTGAGGGACTGCAGCTCCAGCGATTCATGCTGCTTCTCCGTCAGCTTCACTTCTGCCAGCGTGAAGTTCACATCCGACATGTTCTGCACACACACCTGGATGTACTTCCTGTGGGGTTAAAAGGTTCCGTGTGAGTGAGTGAGGAGAACATTGTTAATATTAAGTAGGTAAACTATGGGTTCTTGTCAGTTTAGGATTTTATGTAAAAGAGCAAACTTCCCAAAGGGATAAACATTGTTTTTCCTTTTTGTGTGACACATACAGGTATTTCTATGGGAATGGAGGCTTACCTGTTACCAGCAGAAAGCAGAGAGTGTTTGGTCTTGAAGGGGATGTAGAAGGTGAGGGCAAGCAGCGTGGAGTAGATGGACCACGGACAGTCGATGGACATCTGTGGACGGACACCAGCAAAACCTTACGGTCAAATCTTTTCAAGTACCGTGACAAAACGGCTGACTAGCCAAATTGCAATGAGCAGCTAATGACTATTTTCATCAAAAATTACTCTGCCGATTACGTTCTCAAATAAGCAATTAATTGTTTAGATAGATAGATAGATATAAACTTTATTCATCCCTAGGGGGAAATTAGTTTGTAGCAGCAGCAAAATTAGTCCACAAAATATCGGAAAACAGTGATAGACACCTGTTAAGTGTTGAGCTTCACCCCAAAGTCAAATGTCTTGTTTTGTCCAACCAACAGTCCCAAACCCAAAAATATTCACTTTACTACAAAATATGGAAATATTAATGTTTTGGGCATTTTTGCTTGAAAAATAAACAATTAATATATTATGATTTATTTATTTTTCTGTCGATTGACGAACCCAAAAATCCATATTTAGCTGCTAGCTCTAGATTACTGTTTAGACAGTGCCCAAGGCCTTACATCATAGTTGAACACATAATGAGTTGCCCCAACAGAGACGTGACGTTGCCCCAACAGAGACGTGACATGCCGCCCCCCCCCCCCAAACATCAGTCGTAACTCCTCTCACCCTCTGGTCGATGGCCGTCATGGGCGTGTCAGGGTGACTGTAGCTACGCGGCCGGTGGCGGACCTCCCCGTTGGTCAGCCTCTCGTTGGCAGGCCGGTCGGGCCCGTGCGGGATGATGCACAGGACCTCCAGGTGGAACTCCAGAGTGTGGTAAGGAGGCGTGGCAGGCAGGCTGATGCTGGTCACCTTCTCAGACGACTGGATGGACAGGGCACTTTCACTCACCAACTCTGAACACAGCGACGGGACGGAAAAGAGAACTATTAAAGCTAGACTTGTTAAAGCCGCACTTGTTTCGGCCAGAGCATTTGTAGGCACGCAAACATCTGCAGAGACCCGTTTTTTATAAGACACATGGTTTCATTTGGGTTTTCAAGATGAAAACCACTTAAAAAAAAAGTAAGACTCACACTGAAGAAAATCAAATCAAATCCTTTTAAAATGTGCACTGACCAGCTGCGGGGCTGGTGATGCGGGCGGTGCAGCTGGCGGAGGGCAGGATGGGCATGGTGTCCGTGTTGCTGAGCTGCAGAGCATCGCCTTTCTTCACGGCGTAGTGACCTGTCAGCAGAGTGAACTTCACCATCTGGGGCAGGCCAGCCAACAGTGGCTCTGAAAGCACAAACACCAGTACAGTGAGTACCGCTCACACACACATCAACGTGAGACAACATCCGGTTTCTTCAGACGAACATCCGGTTTTCAGAATAAGATGCCAACAAAGTATGAATTATATTCACTTTAAGTGTAAAACATGCTACCTGCATCTCGTGAACCAAATGGTATTGCCCATTTGTTCATATAGCAGTACTTTTAAAATAAAAGTGCGCAATAAACTACTTTTGAATTCATTATTGAACTTTGCCATAACAATGCGATTAAAAATTTTAATCGTTGCCCAGCACTAATATATCTATAAAACAAACAAATAAAGTCAGACCTGAGAGAGGCTCCACAGTGAGCTGGGGCTCCTGAGAATAGACTTCATACTGGACCGATGGGTAGATATGAGGCAGCACAAACTGCACCTGACCCACGGTGGCATAGAGCTGACGCAACGTGTAGGTACCCGGTTGTCCACTCTGCAGAGAAGACAGATGAAAAGGTGGGAAGTAAGAAAACAAGCGGTTACAAGAAGTTTTATTAAAGAAAACAGCAAATATTGAGAGAGAGGGAATAGAAAAAACAGAAACAGAATCCCCTTCTGAATGTCGAACACCAATTAACTAGTTGACCATTTCAAAAGGTCACCAGCAGCAAAGCGTCTCCTACCGGTGCTGTGAATGTGATGCTGTTGTTCCCGGGCTCTAACGTCACATCCTGCACTTTCAGCATCTGTCCTCCATCCTTCACGGTGATGGCAGGGGGGGTGACGCAGTTGGGCGTTTCCGTCGGCGAGCTGCTGTCGTGGTGACGCATGACCAGGTGAGTGTTTTTGCACACCACTCCCGTGGAGTTGAGGGAATTGTCCGAGGGACTCCTGTCCTGAATCTCGTCCAGCTCCAAAGGGGGACCGGCCGCCGATGCCGACGCGGGACCCGTCGACGAGTTGGCCTGGCTGAACTCCACCGTCCCCGGGTTGGTTTGCCTCGGCACTCCCTTGGACCTTCCGTTGGTCCCCGCACGCTCCAGGTCGAAGTGGATGCTTACCGCCAGTTGCTGTATGTGCACCGAAACGGGCATCAGACAGCGCAGTGTGAGCTCCGCCTGCAGCACGGCACCGGAGTGCACCGACGCCGTGGCCGGACGGAACTGTAGCCGCGTGAGCTGAGAGAAAACGCCCATGCTGAGGGTCACTTTGGGAGCTGAGGGGGAAGAAAATACAAGCAGAAGTTCATGAAGCGCACAACAAGGACAACACTGTGGATGTCTTTTTAAACACAGTTAAATTCACCACCATAACATGAAGCATATGCAAGTATTGTTGCTATTGTTCCAAATTTTACTTTTAAATTACTACCGAGGTTGTCTAAAAGCATTGTGGGAAAATCTCAGACATCATCAACTGAGTTGTGGGATGAAGGGGGGCACAGGGAAAACCCAATGACCCCTTGAAAGCACTGAGCGTCACAGAGCGATGCTGTATAATCCCTTTGGGTTTTGTGCTGGACCGAGCATGATCACTTACACTGATCTTCAGACTTGCCGGCAAAGGTCAGAATCTCTTGACAAAAGTGCTTCCTTTCCTCCGTGGTCAGATTCACATCACCAGCCAGCAAGGCACTGGTTTGCAGGTAGCTGCGATGGCTTGTAAAGGAAGAATCAAACACTACACACAGGCTTCGGCTATTTGAACATCTTTATATAAAGCTTATTTCCTCTTACGGTTTCGGCACTACTCTGAAAGCTGACATATCTGGCCGTTAACTGGCCAACGTACGGCTGTTGTTGTTGTTGTTGGGTGTTTGGAAGGATACTCTTCAGTTCTGTCCAGCAGCTTCTGACACCCGGCAATCTGTTTCCTGGTGTGAGTGACAGGGAGGCTCCATCCCTCCGATGTGTACGACTTCAGAGCTTCCTGTAAGAAGGTTTCTGCCCGCTCGGGGTCCCCCTTCCTCCTAGTAAACAAACACACACATCACTTTGTTTCTCACATGATATCTACTGAAGAACACAGAAATAAAAAGAAATAGTGTGAGCTTTACAAATCTGTTTAATGCTACTTAGAAGTGAATTCAACTCTAATTTAAAGACAGACTACAGATAGAGATTACCTATATCATTTATGTATTTACATTATAAGACTGTACAGTCACTTTTCTTTTCTTTTTCAAAACGTCTTGACATCTACTGTGAACGCAGAATGATGAACTATCCACCTGCTACTGGTTGGTCTGTATTCAGATATAATGACATCACGCGACATCAAAGGCCGATAGCAGAGGCCCACTTCACTTTGGTTTCTCTACCATTAGCTGTAAGACCTCCTGTTTGGGTTAAAGGGTCCAGTGTGTAGGAGTTGGCGGCATCTAGTGGTGAGGTTGTAGACTTCAACCAACTGAAACTTCTGTCTAAGCGTGTAAAAACACTACAGTGGACGACGTGAAAACAGAAATGGCCTTCTAGGCTACTGTAGAATCACGGCGGTGCAACATGGCGGACTCCGTGAAGAGGACCCTTCACGTATAGCTAATGAAAAAATTAACTATCCTGTGATTACACACTTAATAAAACACAGTTTCTGATATTATATTCTATCTGTGCGTAATGCGAAACAGTGCTCTGATTTAATGCTCCGATTCCTCTTTAAAGTCACTTCAGTCTACAGCTCTACTAAACACAGCAAGAAGAAGCCCGTCACTGCATGAGGACTCTAAGAAAATGAAATGTTAGTTTCCACTACACTTTTATGGTGTCACATTTACTTTAAATCTCCTACACACCCATCGCACCACATGTGTTCATTTATTCTGCCGGATTAGACCTCCTCATCCCGAGTGTGTGGGTGTTTACCAGCAGCGACTGAGTGACAGTTCTGGAGAAGAGGCCTAATCCGACACAATAACTGGAAATATTAGTGTGGATGCGCAGGGGGCTTTTAAGATCATTCTTTGAGACCTGTGTGTGTCGCGAGGGAACCAGCAGGCTTCCTTACATGTAGAACTCGGCAAGGCTTTTCCCCACCAGCCTGGCAGACCTCAGCCGGCCGATGGCCCTGTACATCTCCATGGCAGCATGGGAGAGTTCCTGATGCAAGAGGTGGCCAACGAGGTAGAGGAAGGAGAGAGGGAAGAAGAGAGGAGAAAGATAAACAACCGCTTCCACCGAGGTTTCCAGGAGATTACATCATCAAAAAAAAATATTGCTTTCAGTTTTGAGACAGGAATTCAGGGAATTTGTGTTAACTTCCTGCTGAGGTAAGAAATTTACTTACCAGATAGTGTCTTTCAAAAGCTTCCACAGACGACAAGGCTTCCTTCAGCTTTTTGTAAGGGCTCTGCAAACTGCTGACTGTGGAGAAAGACGACGGAAATTTAAAACAAGGCACACATTGTCTTTCAAATGAGTCTTCATTACATCCTAATCAACACGTATGACCGCAACAAGCTCACATATCGGTCAGTGAAAGGGAAATTCCAAGCCTGAAGGCCTCCGACACACCAAGCTGACTTTAAAGAACTTGTGCCGACAGACCGACAGAGGCATCGCTTTATGGCTGCTGTTAAAGGCAGCACTTGAACCACAGACTGTATATAAGTGGACAAAGTCATTGTGGACTTCGGTTTTGAAGCCTTGAGTTTCTCATGTTGGCTGTCGCCATCTTACGCTGAATGAAAAATGCATAGGTTGCCCAAAGAAGAAAACACAGACAACTCCCAGGCCGGACAATGCCGTGGTAGCGACTCATCAATCACCAGGTAGCCCCGCCCTAAAGCATGATCTATTTTATGGTCTATTTGACTCTAAATGGGACCAGATTGTATTAAATGAACATCATGCTGTATTGAAGAAGACTTGAAACTAGAGATTGAAACCATAAACTCATGTTTACTGAGGGAATAAATCAAGAGAGAAGTAGAGTCATTTTCTCATAGACTTCTATACAATCAGACTTCTTTTTGCAACCAGAGGACAGAAAAGTTGGAGCCGGCGCAGTTTTGCTTTGCTGGTGTTTTCAGCCAACACTTGTCTTCTCATAGAAGAAAGAAAAAAAAGGCAGAGGCAAAAGAGAACAAGACTAAATGTGTGAAATCACAGATCAATCGGGTTGAACAGCCAGTAAGACGTCCAGTCAGTCCTGAATCAGATGACCAGCTCCTGACACGGGCCGATCAAATTGCAAAAGCTAAAGGCAACAGATGACCACACGCGGCTCAGAGATGCCAGACTGCTTGGTGTGTCGGGGCCATATATCACAATGCATGTGTTCATGTCATCAAGGGGAAAGGTTGGGATTTTTAGAGTACCTATAAACCTGCAATCAGCGGACTTGCTTTAAATGAAATGTGTAGTCTACTTGTTTCATTTCACTCACCAGTCTCGGGCCTCTCGTCCCCCAGTCCGGCCAGCAGATCCACAGTCCTGTTCAGGTCCTCAGATGTGGGTCCCTTCTCTGACACCAGGCCACAGAGTTCCCCCAGGGACTTCAGCTGGAGGAGGCAGAAACAGAATTAATCATTTTATTTGAAAATGCTTTTATTATTTGGAGAATTATTGACTGTTCTCTATTGAACTAACATAGAAGGAATCTCAGTCTATATGTATGTAGTTACCTTGTCAGTCGCGTAAGCCCACAGCCCAACAGTATGGGAGCAGTTCGCAGCTAACTGGGCCTGATCACAGCAGCCCTCGATCCTGTGCAGAACCTCCAAGCAGCTGAGAAACACCCAGCAGTCCAGGGCCCCCTCCAGCACAGACACCTGAACAACAAGGGCAACAGCGTACAGCATCATGGTCAGTCCCTTTAAGTTTTCAGTGTAGCTTTGTTGTCTATTCATCACTGTATGGATGATGATGATGATTCCCAATTATTAGGGTAACCCCTGACCTCTTGTCTAGTGAGGTCTAAACATTCCCCTGATGAACACTTGGTGTTTCCAAAAAGATGAGCTAGTGTAGCGTCCATATTTCAATCCAGAAATTGTCCATTTCCATTCAACTTTTTCTTTAATAAGCTACAGAGTTTAAAGAGCTTACGTTTTGTTCATTCCACCTGTATAAAATACATGTTGATTCAAGTATAAAGTACATGAAAAAATGCCCCTGTGTTTACCTCCAGCAGCCGCAGCTCCTGCACACAGTTGTGCAGCAGCTCCAGGGCCCTCTGGGTGACCTCCCAGGGCCTCAGGAGGAAGATGAGTAAGGTGCACTGGCGGGAGAACAGGTAGCTCCGTAGATCCAACAGGCTAGCCTCCCCGCGCTGGATCCCGTCCCTCTTCTCCATGTCGATGGGCCGCCGAAGCAACAAGCCGCTCCAGGTGCGCACCGGGGCGCAGAACGATCCGAGCCAGTTGGCCGTATCTGTGGATAGAGACGAGACTCGTCAGACCGAAACCCCAAACTAGAATGCACTTCATGTTTCTGATCCTGGAAACAGGAAGTGCATGCACAAAATGCAGTTCGTTTCACTTGAGAAGACAGTCAGATGGTGGTAACATACCTCCAGCTCCGAAGTTAAGGACATATTGGGTAAAAAGAGCGTCTAGCTCATCGTACTGGACCAAGGCATCTTCAAACTGCTGCAGCATCTCGAAAACAAAGGCCAGCTCCTCCTGCACACACACACAAACATCACACACACACATATGTGAGACACAAGTGAAGTGGGACACATTCATTTTGTGTTGATTGTGGCAGTTCCTATGGACGAAAGTGGAAATGTTTTCTGAGCACCAGAATCCCTTTAGAAAACCTCTCATTCTACTGCACTAGGGGTCTGACCGATGTGACGCAAAGCTCTGCTCGTGGCCGGAGGAGGAGACGCTGATGCCGGGTGCGGAGCTCTCCTCCTCCCTGGAAGCAAAGCCAGGATCTGGGCCTGTCCGCGGTGGGCTCGTCACTGCTGGAGACTGAGCTCAAGGGGTTTCTGACCCGGTGGCACCGATGACAAGCATTTATATATATATATATATATAAACAGCTAATTAAAGTCTCTTTCTGTGCAGACGCATGCCTCTTGTGTTTTTTTTCTGCGTACTTGGACCATGAAGTATTCACAGAAGCTCCAGCCAGGCTGCGTGCGCTTCTCTCGGAGCGTGCGCATGTCGTCTTCGAAGCGCCCTAGGTTCTTGGTGAAGGACATGAGGAGGAGGGTCCGCAGCTTGAGCAGCAGGGAGTTCCAGGATTCCTGAGACCGAGACGAGTCCTTCAGAGGATCCGACAGCACCACACACCTGCGTCAGAAAAGGAGCAATAACCTTTACATACTCGGGGAGGGTTGAATCAACATGGTTTCTTAGATTCATTGGGAGTTGATTATGTTGCCTGCTGTGAGAACGCATGAAAAGGGCAGTAATAAGCCTGTCTGTTGTTGTTTACAGGGAAGCATATCCTCACCTGTCGTTCTGCTTGTTGCAAAAATCGCTGCGGATTTTGTCCACGATGGACGACCGCGGCAGGATGTTGGTCTTGTTCTTCTTCTTGGTGTCGTTGGTCTCCACGACGATGATGACCCAGTCCGCTGAGGCATGAGCCCGCAAGCTGGTCTGCCAGCGCGTCATGTCCTCCTTCACCGTGCTCTTATACGCCTCCGTGTCCTACAATGAAGTACAAAAATAAGAAGTCAAAATTTAAAAAAGATAATTTCTTACAGCGGGAGGTTGGCAAACATAATAATCTCACTCTGTAGATGTGCGTCATATAAAAATGTATTGAACGACTAAAGAAAAGGTTACTTCTCCTAAAGTGAGCTGCATGTCGTACACAGCGAGGATGTTTCCACATCAGAAGACATCAGAGGACTGGGACTACAAAAATAATGCTGGCCAGCGAGTTTACGTTTTGTAATAACTACACTTGTGAGCTACTGAACGCTGTGACTGAGTGCTACCTGAGGGTACGGTTTGTTTTAAACTGGTTGGGACAGAGTACAGGCGAGATATAATGAGAGCATTTGGTTGTGATGTAACGGCGGGTGTCCGGTGGCAGAGAGAGGACCTGAAGCCCTGATGTGTCACACTCTGTTTTGGAAGTTACAGTTTGTAGGATCATTTTTGGGGACGTATGCGTCTGTGTTTTGAGATTGGGATTTTTTTTATTGTTGTTTGTGATTAAAATAAGCAGATTAGAGTAATCTTTGTGTTTTATGTTTCAAACCTTGCACAACAAGAGTTGTTTCAGGGACTTGATTCTGTTGTGTTAAGTTCTACACATGTGATAGTGTTACCGTGTCCCTACTGCATACACATACAGGCTCACTCTCCTCCCACACTAGAGGCACCGTCCTTAGGAAATGTCATCAGTCACACGCTGATGACAACACTTCCTTAAACTAACCAGCTGCTGAGTCAGCAGCAGCAGGTTCCTGTTTTCCCTTCTTGTTCTTCTCTCATCTGCTGTTCCTAAAGAGTTTAGTCTAGCTAGTGCACTTCAGGCTGCAGGCTCCTACACATGCATCTATTAAGTGCACATCATTTGAAAACATATCCGCAGATAGAAAATCTTTTCCAAAAAGCAAGGCCCTCTGCCAGAGCTTCATTATATTCATTTTTAATTCTAATAGAAAAACTGTTTGGATTTAGGTTGCGATTTGCTATGTGTGCACATTTTACAACCACTAGCGTCTGCTTCAAAACAAGTCCCGTCCCCACATGCTCTCTATAAATGTGTGCGTGTGTGTGCTCAGCTGAGAGGTTGTGTCCTGCCGAGTGGAGAGTGGAGAGCCGTCTTTAGAGTTTGACAAATATTAGCAAAATAATTTACATGACAAATAGCACTGATTGCAGAGACAGACGGGGCGTCCTCATTAGACCGGCTATTTCGGGGAACACCGGTGGAAGCACCGGGACTATTGGACCAGTAAGCATTAAAATCATCCTGCTTGTTCCCCATTGGCTGGCTGTCTGGCTCGATATCCTTGTGGAAAGCCCTGTGTGTGCCTGTCCACCTTTCACAGACATGGAGTGAAGCCAAAATCATCTTAATCTGAGTCAACTTGCATATTTAAAGTTCTCCCTCTGTGAATTTGCATATCTTGCACACGAAGCAGTCTGTGACCTATTTTTTTCTTTGCTCAGGGAGGATGAAGTTCTCAGAGAGCAGACAAGAAGACATTTTCCTATCCTCCAGAAGACATGGAAGAGAATAAACTTATTTTTTGTGACTGTGGCAGCAACATTGAAAAGCAGACCACCGCTCTCTATGACGGATTAGTTTGTACGTAAACGTACTGTAACTTATTGCACAATGAAAGTGTTCTCATCGATGAGGATTTCAGATCTTCTGCTGGCCACCGAGGAGGCAGAACAGCCTCCTGGGTGGCTCGGATTGGATCTCACTTTATATATAAGTTTGTTTTGTTAATAATTGTGTGATTCGGTTTGTAACTGTTTGTATCCGTTTTTATGCTTCTTGGATAATAAATCCATTTGATTTTTACTTTAACCTGCTGTTGTGTATTGGAGGCGATTGAGAGCACATGGCTGCAAGGGGGGGG